GGATCTCGAGGAGGGCGCGCAGGTCCCAGAAGAAGTGGAGCAGCATCCACAGCCAGTACACCGAGAAGACGAGCAGGAACAGCACGAGGAAGGGCGAGGGCGAGCGGAAGGAGTCATCCCGCAGCAGCTTGACGCCGGCGCACGTGCTCTCGTCGACGCACTCGTTGACGAGCCCGTCCCAGTTGACGGCCTCCGCCAGGTAGGCGGACAGGGCGATGGTGAAGGCGAGCATCCCCAGGCTGATCAGCCGGCCTGCTAGGATGCACCGGAGGCCGCGCTCGTCAAAGTAATTGTACACCCGCTTGAAGAAGGAGTCGAGGTCGGAGATCGCTTCCCACTGCTCGCGGTGAGAGCCCTGGAGGAGCGCGGGGTTCATCTCCATCTCCAAAAGAAGGCGCTCATTGTGCTCGGTCATCGAGAGTTTGCAACGGCGCGACTGGATGGCTCTTGGCCGGCCGGCTCCAAAGAGAAATTCGGCTGGGCATTAAGTTAGCTGCAAGTACAGGGCGCGTGCTGCAGTTAAGGGGAACCGGGGTACGCGGGGCCAACCGTATTTATTTTACGGCCCTTTCCCTGCGAACGCGCACCCCCCCTAGGAGTCGTAGCCCGATGCCGATCATCCGGCCCGCTGGGTGCGCTTCTTAGCCCTGGATGTGAGGTTAATGACCGCACTCCAAGTACAGCCACAGCCACGAAATTTCCTGCTGACGTCCCTCTGTTGCACCCTGGCACCCGCTTGGATACACACATATGCTCCCTCTAGCTGCCGCTGCCGTGCTTGCGTTCGCTCCCCTTCCGATCGGCAGTGAGGTGCGGCCGACCACCGTACGCATCGGCCGCGCATCCGTCGTTCTACAGGGCCATTCGGATGATCCCGCAGCAGAGCTGGCGCAAGCGCGGCTGATGATAGAGGCGCAGCGCATCATGATTGATCGCCTTGGCGGCGGAGGCACGCCGCCGGCCTTTGATGAGCTCATTAATGAGCTCACAGCGGAGCTCGAGGCGGCCGTGCGTACAATCGAGGCGAAAGGCGCCGAGATCGATGAATTGGAGGGAGACCTCCACGACACCGAGGCGGCACTCGACGCGGCGTTGATCCTCCTCGAGGATCTGCGAAAGGAGCGAGCGCCGGCACCTGCGTCCACTGTGCAGTTCACCGGCCGCGTCGTGCCGACCCGAGCCGGCCAGGGCGCGGCTAGCAGCATCAGCAGCCGGCCGCACGCGCTGAGTTAGCTGGACGGTGGACTCACTACTGTGGACTTGACACGAGGCGTAGGAGGCCGCCCGGAGGAGTGCGCAGTGAGCACAACATGTAAGTAGGGTGTCGATTGAACACAGTATCATTGACGTGCGGGCATGGGTGCGGGCTCTTCGGTCGCTCCAGCATGCGCTCCAGCCTCCACGCTCCAGCTGTGCCTGTGGGGCCTCACAGAGCTAGTAGACAAAGGTGAGGTCCCGGCTTTAGGTAAGGTAAACGTCTCCACGCACACAAAGTAGTGGGATAAGGGGGAGCGGTTTTCGCATCTCTCGCCAAAGCCATAGAGATCTTTGTGGTCGAGGTGACTGGCTGGTGACTGGCTCTAGCCGAGACTGCGGCTGTGTGGCGTCTACACTCACCGTGGAGGAGATCTTCCGGACAGGAGAGAACGGCGCAGCCACCACAGATAGTGCCAGACGAGCTCTCACGCGACACACGGCAGCAGGGGGGACGCAGCTCCAGAGCTGGACGGAAGTGATGACGCCTAAGACTACAGCAGCGCCCCAATACACTATGTAAGTAACGCGCGTCTTCCTTGTTTCCAGCGCAGCTGCCACTCAGCACGTGCGTCTTTTTAGTTGAATATGGGAATACTCGGTTATGTTTATTCTTTTTCTGTGCGGGAAATTTTGACCGCGCAAGATATAAAGGGTGTCCTAAGGGCTCTGCTCGCAAGGCGCCCGCGTCGCAGACGCGGTACCATTGACAAATCTGCAATATACCCCCACACGAGCAAATAGCAAAATCCGAATACCGTGCACGAACTGCGTGATCTCGGACGCAAGCCTTCAGCTGGTGCCAAGACATTCGTAAAATTGAAGCCAAGAATCCGCCAAATCGTGCTTCGCGCTACTCGAGTACCTGAGGGGAAAGCCGCTGATCGAGCCCAGCGTGCCCGCGGCCGCCTCCCGCGCAGCACCGCCGCTGCGGAATCGGATCGATCCCATGGAGGAGGAGGGCGCAGTCGGCCAGCGCAGCAGGCGGAGTCCCTCCCCGCGCCGGAGCCCCCCTGCAGTCGAGGGAGTCCTCGTTGGCGATGAAGGTGGCGACATCGAATCGCGGCCGACACACGTCACGGGAGGAATGGGCGATGAGCGGGAACGATGCGCGCTACGACGCCGACTCCGCCGTGCTCGTGGCCGCAGAAAGCCGCGCTCCAGGAGCACGCCAAGATGCAATGGCTCGCTTGCTTCGATTCAGCTCTCTCGGCAGCAGAAGTGGGGCTGGAGCGGGTGGGGGTGGATGCCGATTTTGAGGGGGAGCGTCTCCAGCTGCGCCCTGTGGCAGCTGCGCCCTGTGGCAGCTAGTCGAGGGACTTGGTAGTTGTGACCCCCCTGAGTGAGGACAGGAGAGAGAGAGCTTTGTGGTGTTTGTTGGTGTACGCAATAACGGGACAGGGTGGTTGTTCTCTCTATCTCCTCTTCTAGCTCTTAGCATGAGCTGCGCCCTGTGTCCGACCCCTTTTGCGCAGCAACACCTTAAACTTTCAGGCCCTCCAAATTCGGGTCGGAGCGTAGCGGAGTGGGCCCCGAGTTTGAAAAGGGCGACGGACGCTTGCGTCCTAGCCTCCAACAACGCCTCCCCGGCGCAGAGGGGCCCCCGGAGGGATGCACAACCGCTCCACGCCACGCCGCTTGCGGCGGTCCTCTTCCCAGCTCCGCTGAGGGCCCGTCCTTATTTTCTGAGCTGGGTTGGACGCGGCCAACTCTGTCCACGAGGGGGCACCAACTCTTTGGTTCGACGCGCGGCACGCGCGACGCGCGTGCTCGACACACCAACACGCAGGACACGATGCTCGGGAGCAAGCGCCGACGTATCGACGTCTTCGCCAACGGCTCCACCTCGAGCAGGTGCATCAGGTTGCCTGATCCGTGTGACAATGCCGAACTCGTACGTCTCGCAGCGAACAAGCTCGGGCGCGCCGTCCCAGGGGCGCCTGAGATCGTGCGCTTCTTTCTCCGCGGGAAGAAGCGCGGCCGCGAGATCGACGTCGAGGACATCGAGGACGAGGACGAGGTCTACGTCGCCTTTGCAGGCGAGGAGTGGGTCGCCCCGCAGCCGCCCGCCGGGGCGCCCGCCGCCGGAGCCTCCGAGCAAAATGCGGCGGCCCCGCTCGGCGCGGTGGAGGGAATTGCCGCGCCACCCCCGGCGCTCTGGGCGGCTCCGCCCCCTGGCGCGTTGCCGCTCCCGAGCGTCTGCGCATCGGGTGCGGCGCCGTCGAGCGTACCCTCCTTTGCCCCGGCCTTCGGGACGGCGGCGGCGGCGGGTGGCTCCGAGGCGGCGGCCACTCCGGTACCACCTCCGGCGCTGGTCGCGCCACCGGCGGCGGCACCCAGTGGTGTGGCCCCTCCGCAGCCTGCCGCCGCTCCGCCGCCTACGGCTGCTCCTCCGCCGCCTCTTGCCGCTCCACCGCCTACGGCTGCTCCTCCGCCGCCTCTTGCCGCTCCGCAGCCTCTTGCCGCTCCGCAGCCTCTTGCCGCTCCGCAGCTTGACGCTCCTCCTCCTCCGCCGGCCGTCTCCGCCTCGCAGCCTGCCGCTGCCTCGCAGGCGTTCAGCGAGGACGGAGTGGAGGAGATGGAGCGGGTGGCGGCTGCCGCTGAGGCGGCGCACCTGGCAAAGCAGGCGGCGCTCGCCGAGAGGGCGCGGCAGGTGGCTGAGGCGAAGGGCAGGCTCCAGACTCTGCGCGGGCAGCTCGACCCGACCATCCTCGCCGCGGTGGACGAGGCCGTGGCTGCCGTCCGCGCGAAGCCGCACCCCGACGCGCCCAGCTTTTTTGTCACCGAGGAGCTGCTGCGGCGCTGGGTCGAGCTCCAGGGGACGCACGGCGTGGCGGCCGTACGCAACATGCTGGAGCAGGTTTGCAACATGGTCAAGAGGTATCAGATACAGTACGGCACGCCCTACACCTTCTTCTTCGGGCAGGTGAAGTGGGTTGAGGATCGTCGCCTATCGCCACCGCCGCAGCAGCCTTCGCGACAGCAGCGTTCGCCTCCGCCGCAGCCACAGCAGCAGCCGCCGCAGCCGCCGCAGCCGCCGCCGCCGCAGCCGCCGCAGCCGCCGCAGCCCATGGAGGTCGTCACGGCGGAAGCGCGGGTCGTCGATCAGCCCGCCGGCCAGGCCGAGTCGGAAAGCGTGCGCAAGCAGCTGCGCGACGAGCTGCGCGCCGCGTCTGCGCAGAAGCGGCTGGCGCCGTGCGAGCGCTCCGAGCCGTGGAGGCTCAACACCGCGCAGTACGATGCCGCCTCCGCGCCGGAGAACGTCCTCGTCCTCGTCTCGGCGGGCCCCGGCACCGGCAAGACCGAGACGACCGTCGCTCGCGTCGCCTTCTTCCTCGCGCGCGGCGTGCCGGCGGACAAGATCCGGCCAATCACCTTCACCGTCGTCGCCGCGGCCGAGCTCAAGGCTCGGATCAAACTCAAGATGCCGACGATCGTCGGCCAGCCGTGCGTGTCGACGATCCACGCCCTCTCCCTCGCCCTGCTCGGAAGATCCGAGATCATGTCGCCGCCGCAGGCGGAGGATCTCGCGCTCCGAGCGCTGTTTGAGCAGCAGTGGCCTGAGGAGCGGTTGCGCCGCCTCCAGGCCGCGTTCCGGGCGCAGGTGCCGCACGTCAAAGCACGGCCCGGGGGGCCCGAATCGCACGACAGCACAGTGACAGTCAGACACGCCACACACGGGGTCTCAGGGAGGGCGACCCCCCCCCCCCCTCCCTCTCCGCAGGTGCTGCACCCTCCGCCGCTGGACGGCAAGGACTTCGGCGCCTTGCGCCACCTGTGCAAGGATATGTGCGCAAAGGCCGGGCTCAACACCGCGGGCCCCCAGGGCGACCGAGTGCCCGACGAGGCGAAGTGCGCCTACGAGCAGGAGTGGGACTGCATGGAGCCGCTGCGCGCCGCGGCGCGCAAGGTGTCCCACTCCGACTTGTCGGCCGCAGTGAGCGAGTTTCTCGGCTGCAGCGGGCCGTTCGACGCCTACTGCCGCTCGGGCAAGGGCGTCGAGGAGGCGCCGCCCGCAGTGCGGCGCTTTGTCGCGATGGCGCGCGAGAAGGGCTGGCTGCACATCAACGAGGTGCCGCTGCAGGCGCTGGAAAAGGTGCGGAGGGAGGGCGTGCCGCCGGCCTTTCAAGGGGCGCACTACCTCCTCGACGAGGGCCAGGACA